CATTGTTTATGTCTGCATTTACAGGGGAGAGTCCTCCTGCTACGACCTTCACGACTGCGGTCTCGGGCGCAGCAGGGATGTTTGCAGGTGTGTTTGAATTGAATATATATTCAAGTGCCCCTTGTCTCCCCCGCTCAGTGTCTATACAGCCGAGGGTTCGCTTAGGTCTGCTGAGCTGCTAAGAACAGGCAGCAGCAGAGTGCAGCATACTGTTGTGGGGGGTTGCTGCTGCAGGGGCCGTTGCTGCTGTCGTGACGACGCCAATGGATGTCGTTAAGACCCGGCTCATGACACAAGCTCCAGGGTCGCGACAGGTGAGCTACTGAAAGCAGATATTATGAATTTATTTTTGGCTCGCGCTGCCGGTGTTGCTAGGAAACCAGCGGCTCTGCATGCATACATATGCATGTAGTTTCTAGGCAGCATTTGTTGTCTATGATTACTCTTGTTTTGTGTGTTGTGTTGTTTCACTGTTTAGTACAGGGGCTTCTTTCACTGCCTGGGCACCATGCTGCGGCGCGAGGGCTTGAGGTCTCTATTCTTAGGGGTGCAGATGCGGTGTCTGTGGGTTGCGTTGGGGGGCGGCATTTTCCTGGGGGGATACGATGCGTTCAGCGGTTACTACCGCCATTTGTTTGAACGCAATCGTCTTTTTGAGTCGCAGTGCTGCAACAGCTGCAGCAGCTGCAGCAACTGAGGCTAGGCAGCAACTGCAGAGGCTCCTTTTGTTTGATCTGCCGCCTAAGCGCGGAGCAAACTGCAGCGGCAGCACAAACTGCAGCAGCAGCAGCAGCAGCATAAGCTGCAGCTACACAAACTAAACAGGTTGTTGCTATGTTTGTGCGAATTTTGTACTCTTGATTTCTTGAGGATGCACAAAACATCAGGCAACAGAACTACGCTACCCTCCCCCAACTAAATAAACCTTAGAGCGTTTCGCTGTCAAGCTGTACAGATGTTTGTCTATAAACTTCATTTTAATACATTCAATAAAAATAATAAAATTTCAGTTGAGAAAGTGAATGGTATTTAAAAATTTTTGGTGCGTAGTCGGCTGCCCTCAATAGAGTGCCCATTCATTACGGGGCTAGGCCGCCTACTAGGCAAAGTAAAGTATGGAGCGTGTTCAATAGGTGATAATATGCTAGTCAGTATTAGTTTAATTATAGGAAACAGTGGAGTAGTTTGTGTGTTGCTTGCTAACAGNATAATATGCTAGTCAGTATTAGTTTAATTATAGGAAACAGTGGAGTAGTTTGTGTGTTGCTTGCTAACAGATAGAGGCTGCATGCATCCCCATCTATGTGGCCGTTGCATTTGTTATATTCAAACTGAAAAACAGATGAAAAGGTATTTCAGATGGCGAAGCCAGCTGATGCGATACTGCATTCACGAGCCAGGGGCCTCGATAGGCAACTAGCGAAAGCTGGGTATACTTCGCAGACAAAAGGAGAACAGAGCATGTTCTCCATAGGCGGTGGAGCATATACGACGGGCGCCTTAGCCAAAGACGAAGCAACACAGCAGTGTTATGCGGTGCGGTGAAACATATTACCTGGCGATAAAGAAATTAGAATAAATCTGTGTAGAGACCATCGTCCTGGTAGATGTCTGCCTGTGGAGCCACATCAGGGTAGATAGGCAACAGCATAGCTGGATGCGACAGTGCAACGTTTTCCGCGAGGAGTCTGGTGGCGGGGTCGACTTGAGTTAAGCCCAAGATAAGATCTTTGATTTCTTCTGGAATGCAGCTGATGCACTCGGTGAAGCTGAGAGCTCCTGATGAGTCTACAGACAGCCGAGAGCACCAGAAGGTGAAGAGAGTCATCCCCAGCTGCCAAGAATCTTGTGACGCCTGAGCCGTGCTGTTGTAATATGCCGTGTTGTCTCGTAGCTCAGGAGGAATGAAGACGGGGGTCGTCAAGCTGAACTGGTAGTTGTCCGCCAATGAGCTTCCTTGCTGTGTTGCCTGAAACAACCCGCCAAGGAATACAAGTCCCTTCTCTGTTACCAAGAACGAGAGAGGGTTGATGTTGGTGTGAACCATAAAAAGACAGTTCAAGTTCGCCACTGCCCGCACCGCCTGCTGTGACAGACTTAACAGAGCTCTGTATGCCTTCTTCGTATTGCCGACATTCGCGAGGACCGTCTCAGCTGTTGCTCTGATAAGAGGACGCCGCGAAACTGCATTAAGAAGGACTTGACCGTCGGTGGCCTGCACATAGGTACCAAGGCCAGTGATCTCAAACAAGTCAATGGGGATATCCAGACGTAGACTGTGGCGAAAGGCAGCTAGGGGCTCGTTCTGGGGAGCCATCTTTGCAATAGCAAAGTCCCTGTCTAACGCCTGAATGGCAGAGAACTGCCCTTGAACCTCCGTATACATGCGGCCAATCCACTGTCGCTGCACCGACTGCTCCTCCTGGAGTACCTGGTCTTGAACGAGTAGATCAACAAACCTTTCTCTCTTCTGCAACACCAGCTGAAACTTCGACTCGCGAGTCTCGTAGCCATTAGACAGCAACACCGGCTGGTCAACTCCCTGAGGAAGGACTCCGCCGAGGACATCTGCCAGACGCGAAGCTTTGTTGTTAAACCACCAACCGTTTCTGTTTTTGCTGATGACTTGTGCCAGATACCTTTGTCCCGGCTCCTCTGTATACTTCGCCTTTTTCCCCCAAAGGCCTGTTGTTGTACTCTCAGTAGACGCGCTGAACCCCGTGTATCCGTTGTTGCCAGCGTAACTGTTGTAGCCTGAGTAGTCGTTGTTCCCGTTGCCGTTGCCGGCGTAGGCGGCGTAGGTGAAAGGGGTCTGGTAGGTGTATAGCGGATACGTGTTTGCGAGGGCGGTGCCGTAGGTGTTGTATCCAATGTTATTTGCATATTTTGCGTATTTTGAGAGGCTCAGGAAGTACTTTAAAGCCTTGAGCTTCTGGATGATTCCACCCCCGCCGATGTATCCTTCAGTAGGGCCAACCTCTTCGACTGCTACCGGGGTAGCAGCAACAGTAGGCATGCTGACGGTAGCATAGGGCACAGCCACTGTAGAAGTTGGCATTGCCATTGTAGCTGTGGGCATCGCCATTGTAGCTGTGGGCATCGCCATTGTAGCNGGCGACCCCATTGAACCGGAAGGCAACGATATTGTTGTAGAACGCATCGCCATTGAAGATGAGGGCATCGACATTGCAGCTGAAGGCATCGCGAATGTAGTTGAAGGCATCGCCACTGTAGCTGAGGGAACCGCAACTGCAGAAGGTACTGCGTATGCAGTGGGTACTGCATATGTGGCAGCAGGTACTGCGATTCTAGACCGCAGCATCGCTCCATTGTAATTGTACTTGTTCTTCCAGCCGCCGCCTTGTCCACTCATTGAACTTTGGTCCTGCTGCGAATTCATTTCGCTGTTCCTGCTAGCATCATCTCCTACGGCAAGCCTGCGCATTCCTGAGGCTCGTAGAGAGGGAGAGGAGACGACAAAGCCCTCAGGAAGGACGCGTTGCTGGCTTTCCAAGTCGGCGTCATTCTCGAGATCTTCCTGCTGGACAGGCAGACCAGCAAAGGACTGCTCTTCACTGTCCACAACTGCCAGAGCAAAAGAGGCAGAAAGGATGGCCGCAATGAAAAGGAGTTGCAGCAGGACAACTGTCGTGAGAGCCAACCGCTTCCTCCACAGTGCCTGCACCACCGGATTCAGAGGTGTCGAAACCATTTTCGGTCGAGGCGATTTGAATCGGTTTTTTGCCGATCAAATGGTTCAAATAGTGCGATGCTTGATGTGAATGACAATAAGAAAGAGCTTTTTCAACAGAGATGCAGCGAAACCGACGGAGTGGAAGGTTTCAGATCTGCGGTTGCTTAGAGCTGAACAAAGAAAGTCTCGAGGGTGCAAGGCGATTCGGGCAGGAAAGCCGGAAAACCAATACTCTTGACAAGGTTCAAAAGTGTTCAGTAAGCAAAAAGATATATTCGATAGTAAAGAATGCTTAGAATATTGTTATAAAACAATGGATCTGATGCATCGAGCAGTTGAAATTTGACAGCTGCGGCATGGCGGTGAGCTGCGCGCGCACCGCCGGTGGCGAGGCGAGTAGCTGTTTGAGACCACTGAGACAGTTCTGCTGCCGCCGCCCCCGCCCCCGCTTATTCTTGGTTTTAACTTTGCAAGACAAGTTAAATACAGCAAACAAATACAAATTCACGCGGTTTCATGTTCACTACGCATATTTCGTGCACGTTTCCCTGCGACGACGGTCCCTTCTAGAACGGAATGCACGTGACCTGCGGTCGAAACCGACAGCTAACCACCAGACAAAACCTCTAAATCTCTACATTTTGAACATCAAGTGCCTTTAATTTCTGTTAAAATAAATCCGCAAATGAATTTAACGTCTTCGTGGCCCAAGAGACCGCAATTTGAGACGTGGATTCTCGTCTTCTTGTGTTTCCACCCTATGGAGCTGCCCGGTCGGCGTGGCTGCTCGACTTAGCTGGTCCACCGACACAGCTGCCCGAACACTCTCTTCAGTCTCTCAAACCAACGCCTATGACGTAAAAAAAGACAATAATATTTGTATTTAAAATACAATTGACTGCGTTGAAAGATTGCTCGTCAGCTCACGACAAGCAAGTGTTTACTATTTCCCCCCGCAGGAGCCCTCCCCGGAACAGAGCTGGAGGGCCGGGTCCGGTAGCTGAAATTGGGTCTTCTCCGCTACTTAAGCTCAAATAAGCACAATTATCATTTTTATGTATTTCATAGGTTTTAACAGAGAGATGTACTGAGGTAGGGACAGTGACGACACCGTCGCCGCCGACACCCTCCCCCCGTCAGCAACTGAGACCCTGTCTGCTGCCCGTTCTGATTAAAATATTCTGCATCAAATCTACGCTGCTTGCTGCTTAACTACAATTTCTCTCGACTTGCTCTAAATACAAGGCTGTCTGAGTGTTGCATAGCGACTTCCATTCGCTGTAGGCCTCCCTTGAACCAGGTATCAGGGTTGTTCAGTCTCAGCTAGGTTGAAAGTTTCGAGTTCCACCGAGGGTTTAGTGTTTTAAATTTTAGATTTGAAATATCCACCGAAGGTAAGACTATCTCTAGGCGGCATTGCTCGGTTACAACGCTGGGTTGTGCCGCNGGGGATTTAAAAGATTGTTCGTCTGCATCGCTTCGTGGACTGTCTGTAATATCTTCCGCATCCCCCAGTCGCCCCTTCAACGCTGCCGTCGTGTCTGTTTCCCAGAGGCTCCGTTGTCTAGGGGAAATTTCTTGCAATGGGTCCTCATCTGTCTCTGGCGGACGTTCGACCGCTTCACCGACACCCTCTTCGACTGGCGAGAATGGATATTCAATTAGCGGAGGAGCGCTGTCCGCAGCGTCGACTGCATCTGGCGCCAGAACTGCATCTGGGCCTCTGTCGGGTTGGATGATGCGGGATTCGGCGCCCCCCTTGGCCCCTGCAGAGAGTCCTGTTTGAGCAGCTGCGAAGAATTCGCCCAGCTTTGCTGCAGCTGATTGTCTGGGGCGTTCGGCAGCTACATCCCCTGCTGCCTCTGGGGGTGCAACTGCGCTGCTCGGTGTACTGTCCCCCCCGAAGAAAGAAGTTATGTTAGATGCAAGACCTGAGGCAAGCCCTGAGTTGTTGAAGTATTGCGACACGACGCTGGCCCCCCTGTAGGCGTGCTCAACGCCGACCCCCGCCAGTCGTTTGAGATGCCCGATGGCAGCATCAGGGCCCTCCCCACTCTCTTTACTAGTACTTTCTCCCTTACTTGCACTCCCCTCCCCCAGCAGCGAAGGAGGCAGGAAGACGCCCTTCTTCCAGCCCCTCTCCCCCCCAGCCTCTGCTGCTGCTGGAACCGGTCGAGCTGCCTCGCTAGTCCCGGCACCCAGACCTTCATTCAAACTCAGTGCAGCAATTGCACGGGAAATCGGCTTAAAAAACGAGTCCGACATCTGCTGCAAGGGATCCAAATCCTCAAGGCCCTCCCGGCTCCTCCTCTGACCCCCTTCAGACACAGGTCGAGGCACACGCGACGCCGTGGATGCGTTCCCTTCTAGGTCATCCGCTCTGCAGGCCAGACACAAAAAAGGCATTTGAAGCTCATCAGAATGAAAGAAGTTCTGCAATGCTTCCTCCACTGAGCCCCCAAAGCAATACGCTAAGCTGAACCTGCCTACCGCAGCCTCATGGCAGAGCTTAGCAAAGCCTTCGGGTCGAAAGAGGGAAGATGCTGCAGTAGCTTCATGCATGCAGTGAAGTCGCCAGCCAAGAGGGCAGGTCTAAGCTGCAGCAACAACCAGACGCAGCACCCCGCCAGTCAATACGACGTGCATAACAGGTAGAATACTCTAAGCTCGAGATAGAAGCAGCGCATGCACACACCCTAAACCCACCCAAATGACTATCGCGACACAAACATAATACAGCAAAGGCAAAGGCCGCCCTGCATCCGCTATGAAGCCGTCCCATAGAGCCAACACGTCAGGCATCTCAAACTCCTGCAAAGACAAGAGAACAGCACAGCCCCCAACAGCAATTCACAAACTTCCCTCACCCTGAGCTCTATAGACAGCTGTTTCTCTACATAAGGTTACGTTATGTAGTGTGTTCAGACGGTAGAAAGAATATTACAATTACAGCAGCTACATGGGGCAGAACAGACACAAAAGAAGTGAGACCCGTGGAAACGCTTCGTAGAGTAAAGTGTGTAATGTTACTATTAATACCAGTTGTACTAATAAAAAATTATAGGCTATAGGATGAACCAGCCCCAAGCAATGGCGCCTATTCTTACTTGTGTCAGCATCAGAAGCAGCCATCTCAAGGCATAGAACTGCGGTTCGACGCCAACTGCGTTGAGATGCATCCAAACTTCTTCATCCTAAAAAACAAAAAAAGCAGTAAAATCCATAAAGTGAAGACCTGTCGCAGAGGCTATGCTTAGCTCCGGGGCTGTTACCTGACCCATACAGCAAGCAGCTCAGCGCTGCAGCTGCAGTTGCAGCTGCAGCACGGGAGTTGCAACAGCTGCAGTGGCTGCAGAAACCGCAGCAGCTGCGGACGCGAGGGCCCCTGTGCACTTCACCTCTGAGGATGCCTCCAGCACCTACGCCTGAGGCAGTGGTCTGCCGCCGCACCTTTTTTCTAAGAAGAGCGTCTAAGCTGGCCAGCCGGCCGCGTACGCCGGCATCTGTTGGGTCGAGGGCTTTGCAGAAGGCATCGCGTTGTTGCTGCATGACTTCACTGAAGCAGTAGAAGATTTCCGCCTCCGCCTGAAAACGCAAATAAAGAGGAAAATGAAACATAAAGCAAAACCCCCCATGCATCAGAAGCGGCTGCTGCTTGTATTTGTACTTGTATGCGTTCTCGATGCCGGAAGCCCAGCAGTTATTCAAGAGTAGCCTGTGGTGTTAGTGCTTCCCTCTCCTCTTGGCTTGCCCCATCTGGTCAAAAAAATCTAACCCTAAACCCTCAGGCAGCGAGCTGTGTGCTGTATAAGAAAGCAGATGCGTATCGAGTGGGTTGTTGTGATGCGAATGAGCAGTACCTGTTCATAGTCTGTGTACGTCGGGTCTGTCATCAGTGCATAATAAATGGGGGCAAGGATTTCGTTCATCCCCTGGACGTAGCACAGCCCTGCGTTGACTTTGGCGTATATAAACAATAAACGTGATAATACGTCATAGTGGCGATGCGGGGTTATCATGTTGCAGACATCCTGTACCCCAGCAGGTGCCCGCCAAGGCTGCACCGCCTCCCCCGTAGGCTGCTGCACTGCAGTACCACCACCACCATCACCAGCTAAAGCCGCTGTAGCTGCTGCAGCTGCTGCAGCGGCAGCGCAATCCTCAACGGAATCGCTCAGGGGCTGAAAGCCCGCCTCTTTCCCAGCCACCTTGGCTCCAGTTGGCGCATCCGCATCCACAGCAGCAGCAGCAGTAGCATCTTCCGCTCGGAGGCTATCGGCCAGCTGTCCTGCTCTTTCAATTTCTCGAGAGGACGGCAATGAAGACCGCAGGCTCACCGCCGGTGCCTGCAAGAAGGAGGAGTCCGATTCGAGCGACTCCCTGGAGGATAGACGCGGGTCTAGATATGAGCTGCTCTTGCAGCTGCTGTTGCTGCTGCTGCTGCTGCTGCTGCGCATAGTGGCCTGTGTGATTCCCGCCTTCTTTGCGACGTCCATTTGTTGCCTGAGCAAATACGCGGGTTCCCCTTCTAATGCAGAAGCCTCCTGGGCATCCACTGCATCGGGGGACTGTCTGCTGCTGCTGCTGCTGTGCCGCCCGCTGACCCCTCCAGCCAATGAGCACTCTGAGGGAGAAGACGGAAGTATTTTTTGCTCGTCTCCTTCCCCCGAGGTCGCCTCCACTCTAACATTCTGCTGCAGTGTGCTGCAGCTGCTCCCTGTTGCTGCTTGCCTCGGTGTGCCACTTCTGCCGGAGGCCCCCAAACCCGCGCTGCTGCTGCTGCCGCTGCCGCNGCGGAAGCAGAAAGCAACCGCTTCTTTGTGCGAAATGCGGAGGGGAGGCGGAAGCTCTTGAGCGAAGAAGACGAGGCAGTACTGCTGCCGCGGGTGTGCTTGCTGCTGGCGCGTGCGCGTTCGTCAGCAGGGTTGGATGACGCGCGTGGAGGTTTCTGTTGTTCCTGTTGCTGCTGTAACTGCTGCTGCTGCTGCAGCAAGAGATCGTAGTTGACGAGGAGAGGAACTGGGTCATTCTGCTGCTGCTGGGTCTGTGTCTGTCGTGTGGGCGGCGGGGGATAGAGATGGAGCTGCTGCTGCCGCGTGACAGTCTGCTGCGGGTTGAGGGCAAAGAAACACAACTCCGGTCGGGTCCTGAATACATCTTTGTTAATCTGGTCAAACACCTCCGCGTCCACCCAGTAGCCCCGCCACTCGCTGGTCGCGCTGCGACACAGAGGCTGCGCACCACCAGACAGCAGCAGCAGCAGCAGCAGCAGGAAAACCCTAAACCCTTCCTACCCTCGAAACTATCAACCCTCTGCCAGTCGAAGGCGCTATGGGGTACCCAGGCGATCTAGCGCCTACCTTCTGAACTAGTGGCAGCTATAAACAAACGCAGCAGCAGGTGCTATACATGCATGGAAGCTGCTGCATAGTCTAACCGGTTAAAGGGGGGCCCCGAGACTCACATGATCCTTAACAGCTGCCAGCGGGATAGAGGAATCCGACTGGTGACGACCACTGATGGGGGTGGCCCCAGAGCTGCGGGCGGTCCTGTCGTGCGAAGCTGTAGCCGGTGAAGACCTATCCTCTTTGGTTTCGTCTATCCCAGCTTCCCTCTGCTGCTGCCGCTGCTGCTGCTGCTGCTGCTGTTGCATGCGCCGCAACCGACGCACCGCCTCGGGCTCGCGAATGAACTCTGCCTTGTAGGACTCGTATGCCTCCCTGAAACCGCCCCAAGCCCAGATGCACATAGCCAACATGTTGAGTGTAGTATATGGTGTATCGTCTGATCCGTGTGTACGAATGCAGGTATATGCGCAACTGTATGCATAAATGCATGCATTCAAACGCTTTATATAAGGCTTAAGGAGGCTGGGCTGGTTGTTGGTTGCCCCACCGGAGCTTGCAGCGCCGCTGCTGCCAGTCAGACGGCTTGGGCGGCAGACAGTGAAGGAGAAGACGCCAGTATATCGAACGCAATGCAGCACAGCCCTCAGGCAGCCCCTTAGCGCAGACTACGCGCAACAGCTGAAGGTCCAGCTCCTGCGGTTCAAGGGCGTCTAGACACGACTCCAGGCTGCATGCAACGGGGCAGCAGACACACAGCAGCAGCAGCAGCAATCTGGCGAGTACAGCTATAAACACACACAGGAGAACAACACCCACAAGCTCAGACACGGGAAGATGCCGCAGGTGAAACGCTGTTAGACAGAGCCAAAAACTGGTGAGTATAGAGAACCAGACGGGGGTTCGTTTGCTGCAACGAGAAATAAAAATAAAAATAAACGCAGGACAAGGAAGGAACAATTCTTATCTGCGGTGTACCGGCTGCGCGTCCTGGCGTTCCCTTCGCGGTCCATCAGAAGCTCCACATGACGACGCAAAGCCTTCATAGATTCTTCGCCCGAAGGGATGCCGTAACGCGCAGGTTGCCCCTTGTCACTGCTGCTGCTTTTGCTGTTGCTGCTGCTGCTGCCAGCGCTGCTGCTGCTGCTGCTAGCGTTGCTGCTGCTGCTATTGTCGTTGGCGCTGCTCTCCAAGCAGCGGCTCCTGGCTGCCTGCGGAGCCGCCAATGACTCCGTTGCTGCTGCAGGCGGAAGCAATCCGCTTCCACTGCCGCCGCTCGTATTGCTGCTGTTGCTGCTGCTGCTGCTCTTGCTGCTGGTACTGATAGGCCACTCCTGTGGTGTTGAAGAGCTGTGCTGCCATTCTGCCGAAGCTTCTGGGTTTGGACTCTTTTGCTCATGTGGCCCAACATCGCTTGTCATCGTCACTGTGTTTGAATTTGTTATCGAAGGGCTTCCCTGTATCAGGTCCCCCGCACTTCTCGCTGCCGAAGGTTCACTGGCAACGGCAGCCGAAACAGCAGCAGTTCGTGTGTGTGTAGCATCAGGTTCAGCCGCAGCGGTAGGAGAGGGGGCATGGGGGGCCCTCGGGTCCTGGCTCGCCATGAGATGCGTCGTCTGCGCGTGCAGTGTCTGTTTTGCTGCTCTTGAACCCCTGAGACGACTCCTGTTGCTTCACATATGCTTCATGCTTCAGCTCATCCCCAGGACCCCGCGTAGCTGCAGTCAGAAAGCAGAAGCAGAAGCTTCTGTACACTTTCCTGGGGGGGGTTCCCGGTTGCAGCAGAATTTTGATATTGCTGCGGCTGCTCCTGCTCCTGCTACGGGGGAGATGCTGCTGCTGCTGACGCTGCAGCGTCAGCCGCTGTTGATAGGTTCTCAGAGCGGTTCAAGGTGGCTGACCAGGAAGACTAAATGGAGCATGACGGCAGCTGCAGCTGCTGCTGCTGCAGCTGCCGCTGCAGCTCCTCTATAGGAAGAGAAGAGCCCGTACATGCACGAAATTCTTCGATATATAAGAGGAATTAAACCACTTCGAGGGGTTTGAGATAGGGAACGACGGTTGAGCGGCGTCGCTTGCTGTCCAGGGCCTTGAGGCGGGCGGGTGCCCTGTCCCACACTGTGTCACTGCCGCTTCCCGCCGGCGCGTTTGTGGTTTATTAGAAACCAATTCTGAGCTCGTTCACAAAAACGATTTGCAGTCAATATGGTTGATATCGTGTGAAGAAAGACATCGCCGTTTTCCTCGCAAGCGCAACCTTGGTGGCGTCGCTTCCTGATCAGTGGGAGTGGCTGGTTATGCGTCCGCACGAGAAACGACTGAAATGAATACACAGATTTCAACTCTAAATATGGCATATTAAATTTTTGTTGTTTTCACTACACACAACTTGCAGACGCGGCTATCTTGCTGGCTTGCATAACCAGTACCCGTGCTGAAAACGGGGAAGAGTTGCTGGCGAAGAACGGAACCAGTTGTTCTTTAGAGAGCTGATTACAGTAGAAGGGTTTCAGCTTCAAGTATCCAACAAGGACTTCCATTTCGGGTGTCTCGGGCTGAAGACGCAACCCAGTTGGCTCGGCCAACGCTCATTGATTTATACTGATCTCACCATTAAATTGCGCAGTAAAACATATGCATGATGCACAGCAAAGGCCTTGCCTGGAGCCACGAAGGTAGAGTGTTTAACGAGCATTCAGCTTGGGGTCTCACTGCTATGCTGAGGCCATCTAGTTCGTTTAACAGCAGCAGAACCAGCAGAGATTTGAGCGCTACACTGAGACACGAATCCAGGGACCAACGTGTCCCAGTGTAGTGAAACATGATATATACAAGGGAGCGCATACCACTGCAAGGAGTGAATCTACCGAGACTCACCAGAGAATGAGGCCGTCTACTGACGGCCTCATTCTCTGGTGAGTATGGAGAATCCTCGGCTGTAACCGGGGGACATTGTAAGCTACAGAAGAGACAAAACGCTCACAAGGCTTAGACTAAGGCCAAAAAGCCACAGCTTTCACCGTTTTCATATTTCATGATCACACCAGTGGCGAGGAATGGGGAGGGTGTGGAGGAATGGTGGCGTCCCGCTGAGTTGCAGCACTTCCTGATGCATCACCTGCTGCAAGGACAACCCAATCTATAATCAGTACCCTTTAGACACATGCTTTAACGCTATAGTTTCCGGTTATACACTTACTGGGCTTCCAGTATCCCCCGGGCACTCAAATATGAACACATCCACAGACTCCTCTAGCAGGCGAACTACACAATGTGATACTCCGTAGCTCTTTGTGGTTTTGCTGATAGTAATCAGGCGCCAACTGTTTTCGCGTGACTGCACACTGAGGAACCGTGCACTCAAAATAAAAGCCACTCCACAATGCTAGTTCTGAAATGCTGCACGTACTGCGGATGCTTCGTTGTTTCCTTTGCTAACATACCCGATCTCACAGCCATGAACACTTGGGGCAGGCAATTTGCCCGCGGTTGCGCTTCTGTATAAAGGGGAACAGATTCGGCGCTTTTGCTCGCCTCCTGCTGTGCTGTACTGAAGGAAAGCTTGAAACCAGTTCCCTCTTCTTGCTGCTTGCTGAGGTTTCGCCTTCTGTCTCGCAGATTACACGAAAGGAGAATGCGCTGTTCACGCTCAGGATGGCCAAGGAATAACTGAGGCCGCTAGCTAACATCGCACAGGTTCTAAAATTTTCTAATTATCGCGCTGTCCCTACAAGTTTCCCCGACACAGATAACTAAACAATTCTTGCCGCAGCAAGCGTTTATCATTGACAATCCACAGACCTTTGCACAGACGGAACCTCAACGCCACCAGAGGCGCTGCCGCTTGACTTCGCATTCACCTGAGCAGTAGGAGAGCATGAAGCAAACGCTTATATGGCTAGCTCGATTGTGCTGTAGATACAGATGCTTTCTTCTAACCTTACGTTAAATTGGCCAGCCATTTGCAGGCCTTGGAGAATACGCCAGCTTCATAATCAATTATAAGGGATACACTTGCACACAACGATCGTGCGAGATTAGGCACAAGCAACTCCCTGATACGTGGAGCTTATAAAAGTGCCCTGTACATTCTCTGTGTTGCCCTTCAGAACGTTCAGCCCCAACTTCCTCAGATAACTATTTTAATAGGCCTTTTTTTTTCTGTGCAATTTGGAGCTTCTGTGGCTTGCATACACCCCTTTACTTTCCTGTTGATTATTCGCGCAGAAAGTGTAGTGGTAATTGTTACTATCGCAAGCGCAGCATGCTGTAGCGCAGATGCGTCTTCGGCTCTAACAATTTCGAAGGCACTCCTTCGAATACCTCACGAGCGAGGGAAGTTGGACTGCATCCAGCATGCGCACCTTGTCCCTCTTTTGAGCGGGAGACAAACCTCACTCCTTCTTTGCATTCGTGTAGCATCTAAGTTAGAAAAAAAAGCTATCTAGCCTATAAATACGAAGGCCGTCGAGTGCGGCTTGGTCAATGAGATTGAGAGAATCCGGGGGAGTCTCGCGCCGCAGAAAAAGCTGTATTCGCCAATGAAGAGACAGAAAAGAGCACTCTCATCAGTTCTGCACAGGCGTATTCCCGTTGCCGTTGGTATAAGGAGGAGCAAGGAAGCCCGTGGGTTCGCCCGCCTGTAATATCTTTGTTAGAGCCCTTTTGGCCACATTGAGAGCGCCGTTATCTAAGTGTGGCGTGTCATGTTCGGTCTATGACAGGCTGTCGCTAAACTAAGCCCAGATTCACCGATATACCTGAACTGGCTTACTGCTCCTCTTGCCTGCCCCAAAGGTTGGACTGAATGCATCGGAGGAGTCGAGCTGACGGCTTTGTATCGCCTTCGCTTTATTGCTACAAGTGGGATTCGCTCCGTTAGTATGCTTTGACTGGGTGTGTAGGCCTTCACTGACTGCCCCTATCACGTGGGGTGTTCTCGTCAAATGAGGTTGAGGAGGTGTTCATAGTTAAAGTCCACACACTGTACGACAATCGCAGGCAGCAAGCAGCATTACGGCACTTTTGGGCCTGTCGCAGACTGCGAAGGTCAGAAAAGGATGCTGCGAGTCTGCATGAAATGGAAGGGAAAGAAAGTGATGGCAGAAACAAAATTCGGGAGAGACAGCAAACAACTTCACCGACCTGGTGGCGACAGAGTCACCTCGGGAGACGAACGCTGCGCGTGTGTTGCTCAGGATAAACAGCTCGAGCCCCTGATGGTCGTGCTTAAGAGTATTATGTTTTCCATTTATTATCTGATATTTGGCTTGAGAGTTGCAAAGGATCGAGATGACGCTACCGCAAAAGCATAACACAACGCCTGCATCGGGGGCCGCCGCCGGTCGCCTCTAGACCAACCACTAGGGGCCCTCAGCAGCGTGCTCGCTGGGGAGGCCCCGATCTGCACTAAACTTCTAGCACATCCTAATGCAAATGCATTCCAACATAATACCATTTGTATAGAATTGTTTTCCCAACGGTGTTTAACACAGAGGTTTTGACTGCTGCAACGGGCGTGTGCCTAGCGGGCTCTGTTCCCTTATCAGTAGCAGCGGTACGACAGGCCACACCTTTTCTTGCAGGCTGATGCTGGCGTTGAGTTCCTTAATTTAAATCTATTTCTTTCGACTAGCCGCTCATTTTAAACTTCTTGAAGCCGGAGATCCCAACTATCGCTTCCCCCCGTCTTCTGGACGGTTTCCGATCCGGGAAGCAGGGGGCTGGCCCCCGAGGCGAAGGGTATTCTGACGGCTTTGCGCAGCAGCAGACGCATTTTGAAGCTTCTATGCATGGCCTACAGCAGAGGCAGCAGAAGGGTACCACTCTGGCCTGCTATAGGGGCCGCCTTCGCTTCCACTTGGCCGGGCGCTAAAGCGTGGTAACAGCCGACTGGCAACTGAGCGCTCTCACTCGCTTAGTCGTAGCTTGCATTGGGAATCAAGTTGAAGACGAATTACACCAAGTCATAACAAGGTTGAACGGTAGAGCAGCACATCTGCAGAGCGCTGCCTTTGCGTCCACCAGCACACCAACGACCGCAAGAACAACACGAGCTAAAACTGCAAAGGCGGAGCAGCTGGTAGTCCCACTGCAACAAAAATAAACAACAACGGCACCAACAACCAGTGATACTGCTACACTGCAGCAGCAATAGCACGTGTGCTCGCGATGCTGGCTGGCACGCTCCCGCATCAGCATCAGCCACCGCCGAGGATATTAGTCAGGATTTATAGCCAGTGAGGCGTCACTACGAAGACTTCCGGCGGCGCGATGGAAAACTGGAACAGAAAATGGAGGGTAAGCTTCTGCATGAGTAGATTGCAGCTTTGCAAGCATTTACCTCACTCCGGCTGAAATGAATAGGGGAGCCCCCGCGTCTTGCTCGTAGCTAATCAAAGCCATTGCATATGAAATTGAGGAGTTGATGCTTTCATCAGCGAGAGTTCTAACGTGCATATTACTAATTAATAAAGACTTTCGAGGGTTCTTTGCCCCTTGCGCGTCCCACTAGGACGAGACCAGCAGATCGGCGACAGGAGTACGAGTATTTGACTTGTGCATTTGGTGCAGACGCTGTGGTGCTGGTCGAATGTCTACTTGGGGTGGAAGGTGGCGCAGGCGCGAAGCCGCGCACTGCCTCAGGACAAGCAGGCGGCATACTGGGAGCAGCGACACGAACACTTTGCGAATCTCGTGTGGGACAACATCAAGGAGTTAAAGGGTAAGAGTGTATGTGTGCCGAACATAAACCCCTATGTTTAGTGTGATGCGGATGCGCTGTGCTGCACTGGAGTGTGTATGGAGCAACAACAAATGAGAAGCACAAGGAAGGAGCGACGATGTGAATTGCCTTAGCAAGCGGTTGCGCGCTTTGTGCCAGAACTGCTGCGTGTGTCTATGTGTGAGCCAGACGCTCTGTAAGTTACCTCTTCTTTAGGCACTTGATGTGTTCTTTGCTTGGATTGCGTATCTGCAGGCTGGTGGGTGAAGGTCGGGCAGTTCTTGAGCACAAGGAGCGACTTGCTGCCTCAGCAGTACATCCACCACTTAATTAAACTGCAGGATATGATGCCCACGACGCCATACGCAGTCATTGAGAAGGCCCTGGAAACAGAATTGGGTAAGGCGCAAACCGGAGTAGCCTACAGCTTCCTCCTGGCATTCAGAGTTGCCTTTATGGGCGCGCGGGCTTATCCCGTGCCTGCCTGACACGACAGTGTGGAGAGGTCGCCAGGTGGTGCTGCATATCAGAGAGCGTAATAGTATATATATATATATATATATATATATATATATATATATATATATATATATATATATATATATATATATACTTTTAGTGGTGCCGCGAACTTCGCAGGGGATTTGAGTCAAATCTTTTCGAAGATTGAGGAGAAGCCTCTCGCATCTGCAAGCATTGGCCAGGTTCATCGCGCGTGGCTGACAGATGGTACCGCTGTAGTCGTGAAGGTTCAGCATGCGGACGTCGAATCTCTTCTAATGCACGACATGGCGAACCTCAAACAATTGTCTTGGGGTAAGCTTGGGTCAGAACGTTGCAGGGCACTCTTAGCTACTGTCCTTCTGCTTTTTCTTCCAGTTCAGTGAAAGTACCATTTGGAACAAGAAAACATGAATGAACACGTGGAGACGACGGAACAGGGGGACACAAACTTTAGATGCAGTTGGCTTCCGCGACTGACGTGTGCATATAACACCTCAGACTCTGTGGGTTTGAGTTTTGCACAGCTTTTGGGCTGCTCGAGCAAGGCATGAACTTTGCGCCAATATTAGAAGAGTGGCAAAAGGCGGCGAGCAAAGAACTGGATTTCCGATTTGAATATACACATCAGACGAGGGCCTATGAAGCAGCGCAGGTAGGATGGGGACTTACAAACCACAGAAATGACAGGATATTCTGCTAGGAGTCAAGCAAATATATAGTATCCTCACCAGTGTGCTCTAGGGACATCTAGAACGGGAGTCGAATGCATGTAGTGCGGATGCTGAACGGGCTCAGACCTACGTGGAAGCCGCTGCTGTTGCATCACCACACATTGGAGGCAGCTTAGGGTTTAGGGTAGTATCCATCCACTGTCTAGTAAATTCGGATTCAATTTATTACATATTTGTGTAGCATTGTTCCTTCTTCGTGGCAGCGGTCGGGAATCGGCGTGATCATCCCAAAGTGCTACCCGAATTTGGTGACAAAATCCGTCATGGTGATGGAGTTCATCGATGGCTTCAAAGTTACTGACGTCGAGAAGCTCGATGTAAGTTGAACGATATCTTTCAATATGACGGAATGCGAGCTGAGTTAGAAACCTGGTGGAACACATACGCATGGCTGTTCAGAAATTCGTGTGTGAATTAATGTATCTTTCCCAGGAAGCACTCCCTTTCGACATGTACATTCTTGCTGTTGTTTCGCGTGCTCCATTTATGGTTTGAGGTGTAGGAGTATTGCACGGGTGAATGTGTTGAATGACTGACTTTTGCAGCAATACGGCGTAGACAGAAGGGAGCTCATGTACAAACTGTGCGACAGCTTCGCCTATCAAATTCACATTGATGGACTTTTCAATGGTGACCCTCATCCGGGGAACATCCTGGTGTCCGTCGATCCTGAAACAAGAGAGGCGAAACCTGTTATTCTTGACTGGGGCCTGGTGAAGGAATTTGACTCAAAGGGGCAAACTGCCTTCTCTAAGCTCGTACGCTCCGCTGGCTGTCTGCTTTTCATCACGAGATTTCTTTGCAAGCTTGGTGGGCTCGACATACGCGGAAATTTCGTGTTATTTATCATGTATTTGGCGAATTCAGGTGTACTCTGTCGCGTCAATGGATGTAATGGGCCTTATGGAGGCGTTTGAGCACATGGGCTTCACGTTCAAGGAGGGGAAGGGGGCCGTCGTTGACCCGGAGATCTACATGGAGGCATTGCGAGTGGCTTTCAGGGTAATCTTCCCCGCCGTTAAAGAGACGTAGACCGAAACTCAATCTCGTCAGTCATGCAGAGAATTAGCTCTGTCGGGGTGTATTTCTGTGTGTGGTACGTTTCTCAGCAAGGGGAAGTCGAGAAGAACGAGACAGAGGCGCTTCACAAGGCGGCAGGGGAAACGGTCCAGGCTGCCGTAAAGGCCGGGATAACCCGCAAGAAAATTCAAGAGGGTATGAATCGCAACTTTCGACTGCCATAATATGTCTGTAGCTGCTACTTTTAAGGTGGACTCGTGGCTGCCTCCTGTGCAGAGTTGCCTGCATTGCTGCTACAAGACTGAGCGCGTGCTGACAGGTAGTTGGGAATGAGATGATGAATCGTTCAAGTGGGGATGGGCAGGGAGTGTCGTTGGTATGGCAAGAATATCTGTGTGCTGCTTGCTTTGATTGCTGGTTTCAGCAAATCCTCTCGAGGATTGGCCGAAGGACATTATATTTTTTGTACGCGTCGCGTCGCTTCTTCACGGCCTCTGTGTTCAGCTGAAGGTTCACATCCCATTCTTGCAGATAATGGTTCGTAGGGCTCAGGAGTGTCTTTTTAACCGCTATCAGCCGCCGAGCCCTCTTATATACACGCACTTCCTGGGAGGCAGGGGAGCTGCCAAGTGGTGCGCAAAGCACATCCTTCTCGTGCCCTGATATACCTTATTTTACACATGCATCACAGATCCGAAACACAGAAGCGGAACGACTGCTTAATTTTGCTAACTCAGCGTTCGGCTGTGCATAGCCATCTCGTACTCATATCCGTTTGCTGCGTTTCTTCTGTCTCCGAGCCTTCGTGCCTCACTTCCTTCTGATGTTACTTAATGTAAGGGAAACTGCCGGCGGGTGTGTGAACTGTATGCGCAGTTCGATTCAGCAGCGGTTGAATCGATTGCTGCGAAGCCTCGTTGAGCAGAAGTTAGTCCTTGGGTGCCAAGTGGCGGTTTGCTTCGAGGGGGAGATGATAATCGACGCAGCCATTGGCCAGATGGGACCTGTAGATACGCGCCCGGTTACCCCAGACTCACTATTTTGCGGTTACTGCACTGCAAAAGGTAAGATATATCAAACATCTTTTTTTTGACGGGTGGCGGAGCTTGGGAGTAGAGATGTCAAGCAAGATATTGTTTCGTTGGGGCTGAAGGAGAGAGCCTCAGCTGACTGCAGCTCTGCAGCACACAGAACTTTTGCAACAGGACACTGGGGGTGGATATGCGATGAGTTTCAGTGTATTGTGTTGCCTCGCTGTGTGCTGCCGCAGGGCTCTTGAGTACGGCTCTGCTACAACTCGTGAGCAGCGGAGAGCTGGAGCTCGATGACGCTGTATCGAGTTGGTGGGATGGTTTCATTCGATACGGGAAGCGGGAGATAACCGTGCAGCAGTTGCTGACGCATCGAGCCGGTCTGCACCGAGCACTGCCTGCAGATCTTACCCTATCCAGACTCGCGGACTATAGTGAAATGGTTCGCATAGTGGAGGACGCCGCACCTGCCTGCCCGCCTGGGGCCTGTGGAAGATACGCGTACCTGACTTACGGGTGGGCTGTCAGTGAGTTGGTGCGTTGTGTATCGGGGATGTCGATCGACGCCTTTGTACAGGAACGGCTTCTAGAGCCGCTAGGACTTAAAGGAGAGCTCTTCATCCGAGTGCCACGAGAAGCGGAACAGTCGTTTCCTGCTGTCTCAGTACCACAGACACCCGCAAGCGCAGCAAGGGGTAGCACGAAGTCAACGCCAACAGTAAAACCAACAACATCGCCCTCCAGCCCCAGTGCAAGACAAAGGAGCACTGACAGCATGCGGATGGTCTCTAGCAGTCAACAGGCTGTGCACGTCGCTTCTACTTTAGAACTCCGGCACTCTGCTCTATCAAAAGAAAGAGGACCGTCTCCTCTAGCAGAGAGGATGGCTGCTGCAGCACTCTCCGGAAACAAAGCCGCCGTTACTAGCTCGGGGCGCTCAAAGACGTTGGAGTCCTTGAACTCCTCGCACGATGTACTAACGACGACTCATGCTAGCGACAGCGCAGACGGCGAATCTCAGCAGCATTCACTGAGTGACAGAAGTAGATCATTTTTGCTGCCTGGCCCTCACAGTTCACGCAGAGATGGTGTGGACGATGCAGCATACAACGAGGAGACACGAGGGAGGAGTATTACAGGAAGTGGCATCAGCAGCAAGACTTCGTCTCGTAGTCCACAGCTCGTGTCGACCCCAAAGACGGAAGAGTTTTCATCAGATAGAGAAAGCAGCAGAGATCCTTCCGCCTTTAGTCCTGCGCTGGAACGCAGTGCGGCACCAAGTGCGCCGCCGTTGTCACGGCGGCACCTTGACGCGGATGACGGGGCCTCTGACCGCAGCAAATGCAGCAGAAGCAGCAGCAGTAGCAGCAGTAGCAGCAGCAAGTGCAGCGCTTCTGTGCAGGGGATTTCACACAGTGCGGAGAAGGGTCAGCTTTCTGCCTTCCCGAAGGAAGTTGAAATCGTGACAGCCGACACTCCGCTGCTGTGGAGGCTGACCTCTGCGCGCAGAAAGATCTCCTTCAACCCCATGACCCAACAAGAGGTGCTAGAGCGCCTAAAGCAAACGCAGGGTAAACTTGAGGGAGAGAAGGAACAGGGTGAAGGCGGCGTTTCGAGTGCATACGACCGACAAGTGAGACGTCATCTCGCCTCGGCCATGAGGCGGCGCCGTCGCCGGATGCTGAGCATGAAAGGCAATTCAGGGCCCCTCGAGCATATGCGGGAAGTGCACATTTGCAACACACGCAGTACAGAGAGTCTCCCGGATGTTTTTTTACGCACAAGAAATGTGAGACACGTGGATTACGACCGCCAGAAGTCAGAGGAAGAGGGGGGCCTCTCTCAAAGCGACGCCTTCACGGAGGGGCTGAGGACCCCTGAGTCGGACTCGGATAGCCCTGGGATGACACCGACTGCCCCAGGCGCAGCTCCGCGCGTGTCAGTGCTAGAGTTGATACGAACCAAGCCACACGTAATGGACCCCCTCATCTATGACAGCCACCGCATTGTGCACCAGCTGATTCCCCCCAGCAACTGCCGCTGCACTGCGCGTGCCCTTGCCCGGTTTTATGCCGCTCTAGGTGAAGGCCAAATCATCAGCAAGCCTCTTCTTGACGCTGCACGAGTCGCCCATACTGTTGACACCACTCTGGAGGCTCTTCTTCTAACGGGTGGAGGCAGCAGAACTTGGGGTTTGGGGTATCAGCTNCTACCGTCTTGCGCAGCCGCATATCAAGTGTAGGCGACTTCGTTGCAAGGCGATGCAGACGCTCACGAGACAGCAGCATCTTCACTTACACAGGAGCAGGTAGCGGCCCTGCTCCGCACGCAGATGCAGAAGCCGTTCTGCGAGATAGGGGCCTCTCCTCCTCACATCCTTGGGGAGCGACTCTGGGCCTGAAGCCTCGAGGAGTTGTTGGTCTTGGACACGGAGACGTTGGCGGCTCTGTTGCCGTTTGCTTCCCGGAAATGAACTTGTCCATCAGTATTCTTCTCAACGATGTCCTCACGGGACCCGAGGTGAACAGCGTAATATGCATGCATGCACTTATAACTTGCATTCAGTGGATGAGTTCTTCATTTTCCCCTTAAACAGATATCTCTTCTTCAGGTCCTTCTTCCTGCTGACCATCCACCTTTACGCTATAAAAGTTCGGTTTTAATTGCTTTTTGTGTTGGGTATCTGTTGTTCGTTTCTGCAGGCATCGCAGATTATTCTCGAGTTTCTGCTGAAGTGCTTTGGCTTGCAGCCCAAGTGGCAGACGCAAGTCAGCATCAACGAAGTATTGGAAAACTTGACGCCGCC